CACCTAAATAATCTCTACATGATCCATAGGAAATGATTCATTACAGCATGCTACCCACATTCACAACATCGTTATACAGGAGTTGTCCAACACTGTTGTGTACTCCCAAATGACTAACACTAAAGCACAGATTTTAGGGGCATATATTTCTATCTAGTTCTATAACGGCACTATAAAAGAGCTTCTTCTCTGGAAGAAGGCAGATCAAAATCTCCTAAAAGCAAAACATATTGGACAATCTTTTAATAAACCCTATAAACATTCAACCCCCTGGAACCTGTCAAAGACTGATGTTGGCCCCTGAACATCACCGTGCTCCATTTTAATAGGGAACTCCCCATTTGGCCTATAACACAATAAAAAGCTCCAACTCACCCCTTTTCTTCAGTTCTGCGTGTTTCACATTTGCCTCAGCATTTTCCTTCTTGAGCTTCAGTTTCAGCTCTTTATCCCTGTGCTTCTCCTTGAAATCCCCGGGCTTGGCCTTGACCACTTTGAGAGGCGTGAAAGTGAAGAGCGCAGGTGGCTCCGGAGACGCCGCTCGCTTCTTCTGCAGCTGCTCCGGTATCTTCCGCGGAGGCAGCGTCGGCTCCAGGCTCTTCTTCGTACCGTTAGTGAGGCTGTGAGGGGGGTGGTGGTGGCGTCTGTGGAGCACATGCTTATCGGGGCTGAAACTGAGGGGCTTGGGATTTTGCTGCAGCTGATGCGGTTGGTGGGTCCGTTGCTCAGCGTGTTGGTGGTTGTGGTTGTGATGGTGATGATGGAGCTTCACTTTCTTCGCTTCTTTCTCGGATATGTCCCGTTTGTCCTCCGACGGCGACAGGTCCCGTTTCTTCTTTTTCTTCTTCTCTTTAATAAAACGATCAAGAGTGTCCCTCACATTTTCTTCTCCTACTTTCGCACGGTGCAAGTCGACTTGAGCTGCCATCTTTGCACGTACAGTACATTTAAAGGACTCAAGACTTCTACCGCGCATGTCCACGACAAATTGTAGTCCTCTTGGCGTTTAATTTGTAGTTTGTTTTACTATTTTGAACCTATTGCGCATGCGTTAAACGTGGAACTGTGGGTTGTGTAGTCCGCTTTTATTGCAAAGCAACACGGAAGTTGGAGTTTACATTGCACAGAATGCGTGCAGCTCTGCACGCACTCACTTCTGCTCCGCTGACGTAAAAATAAATAATAATAATAATAATAATAATAATACCACAGTCATGTTTATTCAGTAAACCTTTATTTATCAGTGCATGAACAGAATGCCATGACCACATTATTTTTCACCACTTTTATACAATTTCCTCTCAGTTCCCTTAAAAAAATAATGAAACGATTTACAGAGGATTTTTTTCTGCATGAAGGCAAATATTTATACAGGAGCTGTACATTTTATAAACCTTTACAACTACCAGGATGACAAAAGTGAAAGATTACTTTATCATATGCTGGATCAATACAAGGCCACAGTATCAAACATGGTAACAGCATGAACAGTAAATAATACCGTAGCCTGTCATTCAACATTAAAGTGGACAATAAATTAGTAAGTGGTCTCACAGACCAAGAGATGCATGTGTTGCACAGGCGGGCTGATGAGGGTACTTCTCAAGGGAGGACTAGTTGGTGAGTGGTCGTGTAAGAACCACTAGATGTCTCTGTACTCCACAGCAGCAACATTGAAACAATACATTTTGTCTTCAGAGCAGGGAGAGCCCAATAAGTTTATATTAGAAATATATATATTTGGGGCTTAATTAAATTTGATAACCTTTATAGTATAATTTCAAACAGGCCTCCCAAAGAAAGAGTCATGTCATTTCCGCACTATGCACCATATGAAAAATGACAGCATTCTTTGGGAGTCTGGTTTTACTTTTAACACAGACATGACAGCCATGATGTTGTTAACGATAAAGTTAAGCAAATAATGCACATACTATTTGTTTTCTCACATTAAAGGAGCATGTACTAAAGTAAGAAATCTGACCAAAAATAGAATGAGGAAAAAATGTTTTGTGCGTACAATTTTGATGATAAAAATACAAGTATCTCTTAAATTTTTAAGCAAGTTCTTACAATCAAACTCTGTTAATTCGTCTCATCTAAATTATGTGTCAATATGTATAATCATCTTGTTAAATAACATGTGTCAGATTAAGTACAGTTGATGCTACAGCAATATCTAAAATACACAGGCCTACCAGTCAGCTTGTATACACACCGACGCGCATAGACAGAGGACCTAAAATACAGATCTTAGATGTTATGAACCAGGCTCATGTGACTCTTTACAGATCATGAAATGTTAAAGACAGAATGTATAGAGTGCAGTTTATATACTGTTATTATTTTAGACTGTAATGCCTATCTACACATTCTATCTTTAAGTCAGCATCAAAAGTGAAATGACTCAGCATGGATATGTGCACTAATGGTTTTGTTCACACATGAGTTCAATAAATTACATTATGCTTTATTCTTAACACACGTTACAAACATAACTATAACCACAAGTATCTGGTCTGCTGATTGATGCATATATAAAGCTCAGTGGTAGTCAGTCCACCTGATAAGCTAATGGGATCAGAGTGTTTCACAGTCTTCACACGTGTATGAATGCCTTCATACACAGGCGGTTCACAACTCTAGTCAGACGCTCAAAAACACTAAACACTCTGTCACCCTTTGCAGTTGATTATAAGAGAAACTCACCAGCCTCCCTCTTCAGTGCATCCACGAGTGACGGCAACAGTGACTCAATCTGGCCGGGAAGAGAAGCCGAGTGATTGCATGAATATGCCTTAAACCTTTAAAGTGACAAAAACAAAAATAAAATAAAATAGGATCCTTCACTGAAGCGGGTAAATGGAGAAATTACCCACAAACAGTCTCACAGTGAGTGCAATATGAAGCAGCTTCTTTATCACCGGAGTCTGATTGGCACAAAATAGACTTCAGTGTCACGTCCAAACACATCCACACTTCATCCACCGGTATAAATACTCATGTAGGTACAAGCTTGCATGTCAGATGAGATGCAAACTGACCGAGGCAAACTGAGTAGAATAAACCCTTCATAAGTAATGAGAAGCTATGCTGATGGTTACACAGTGGTCTGCTTTGTCTGAGATTGTTAAAATTATCCTTCCATTCTGAATGTCCACCTTCCAGAGGCTCAGTTTTCTCTTCATATACTGTACACAGACAGTCCCAGAAAGTTATCAGACATCTGCGTACGCTATGTCCAGTTGGGACTGGATCTTGGTGGTGCTGGGAACTTTCCATGGGCCGGGGGTGATGGGAGCTTTCTTGCTGGCAGTGATCCCATTGGAGCTGGGGTCCTGCATGCTGCTGCTCGAGCCTCTGGGGTCCTTTCTATTCACTTCGTCAGCTGGCCCGTGGTACTTATTCTCCGTATAGTCTTTAGGCCCCTTATCTCTTCCACTCCTCTGGCTCAGGGTGCCACTGTCAGCATCAGACCCCACCCCCTCCCCATGGGAAGAGGATTTTTGTGCCACTGCCTCTTGCTCAGCTCTTTTGCCCTTCTTGTGGCGTTCATTGTTGCCCCAACCTTTATCTTCACTCTCTGTAGCCCCCCTGTCCTGCCAGTAAGCCGCGTCCTCCTCCTTGTACCTCCAGTTTTTCCCTTCTCCAGAGATAATGCTGGGCTGCTGGCCAGCTGGACGCCTGGGGCTTTGGGGCTCCTCCAGGTTCTTCAAAGGCACTGCAGGATCATGTTCCCTCTTGGGGTCCTTCCTGGGGCTGGAGGAGCGATGGTGGCCTCTCTGCCCTTGAGCTTTTCTCTCCTTACTCATATCTTCCAAAGATCCGCTGTGGCCTTGCTCTGTTTTTCTAGGGCTCTGGGAGTGCTCTTCAGTGGCTCTTCTGGAACTAGCAGATTTGGAGTCATTACTGCTCGTCTTTCTGAACTGGTTGCTGGGGCTGGCGGTGCGCTTATGGCTGTGCTGAGAGAGCTGCTGTCCTCTTGATTGGTTAGCTTGCCTACTGTGCTCCCACCCAGCGCCAGGGGACCCAGATGCCCTAGAGTCCACCCCAGAGAAGTCATCAGGCGCAGATATTTTGGGTGAAGATGGGGATATTTCTGAGGTAGACAGGGAGACAGAGGATGGAGAGACTGAAGATGACTGCCCATCAGATCCAGAGAGTCTGGGAAAGCTTGAGGTCGGAATGGTTACTTTGTCCTTTGAACCTGGGGAGCAAGCAGTGGAGAGTAAGAAAAACATTCTAGCTGAGGAAAATGTACTGTATGTACTCAAAAAGACAGCAAAAGGTGGAATACTTCTTAAATGGGATATTTTGCACATTCATCAAATATGAAACATGCAGCAAAAGCACAATATGCTCCCCAATATCCCTGATGTGAAAAAAAGATATTTTCCATCTAGATCCCTTTCTGTAATAACCCTCCGTTATATTCCTGTAAATATTTGTCTTGTTTGAGATATAGATCAATCGTCAACATAGACATCAATGAAGAAAAGGTGCTGGGGTTCACCCAGCACTGACATTTCAATTTTCCCTCGAACTGATAAGAATTGCACAGCTGTGACTGAGAGCAGATATATGCAGCAGAAAACCAGAGAAAGAAAGAGTAGAGTGATGGAGTCAGTGGTGCTGAAATGAGATTCTGGATTTCTAGGAGCAACAACTCCTAGAAATTCATTCTTAATTTGGTCATTCACTGATCAATATTTCTTCTCCGGGTTTCCATTTTCATTCAACTCAGGATCAGGTGTGTGTTCAGTGGCATTCCAGGTTTTCTAATACCCTTAAAAAATAACTTGTGGGGCTCTGAAGTCTTCCAGTGCACCTGCAGGTCTATTTGTTCTTCTAGGACTCACTGCTTTAGTTCAGCCCTCCAGAGAAGAGTCACAAATAACTGACCTATTTCAGATTGATCAGGGGGAAGAAGTAAGGGACAGAGAACTAAGGCTGGGTGATATGGATCAAAACTCTTATCCTGGTATTTTGAGGCTGAATGGCAATACACGCTCAGTATATCAGTGTTTTGGACAAAGCGGGCTACGGGTTGCAAGTCAAAATGTGAGACATCAAAAGTATTTTTTATTAAAAATGACTGTGATCAAAATTATATGCAACAACAGTTTCCTTCCCTGTTTGAACATGTGCAGCTTCAAAACGTGCAAATAAAAAATTATATAGTCAAATTTAACAAGATGTAGCTGCACATAAGAAAGTGAGAGCATCTCTGTCTGTAATACATAATTGAAAAATATGTTTAAAATCTACGTTACGCACACAAGGAGTCTGTCTCCAGTACAGAACCGAGGCGGCCGTCTGCGGCGCCAACTCACACACAACGATGGTGGCGCTGTCCCTGCAGGGTGCTGCTCTGACCATCAGGGGTGACTTGGGCTTCAGTGTCTTTCCCAAGGACAGTTTGACATGTGGACTGGGGAGAACGGGAACCGAGCCGCTGCCCTTCCAGTTGGGGGACAGCCGCTCTACCTCCTGAGCCGCAGCCTGTCCCTTTAAATGCTGGTTCTGTCAAACTCGTATGTCTTACATGTCCTCCTTGACCACCTATCGTTTGTCAGTGTCTGCCGGTGCTTCTTTTAAAAAGTAGTTGTGACTGGGCAAATGGTATCTCGGGTCAATGGTTATTAGAAGCTTTTTAAAGCCACCTTGCACAGTGCTTAGCACTTATATCGTGCCAATTTGACCTTTTATTTTCTTTTCATAAGGCACCCCACGGGTAAATGAAGCTTGCAACACATTTCCTCCAGGGCAGAAGAGTTTTCAGGCAGCGAAGGCCTCACAGCTGAGGATGCATCAGCTGCACAAAGTTTAACACACTCAATACTGCAGTTAAAGGTGCTGTTGTAGGCCTAAATGGTGGAAGGGATTTTTTAGAAATCAGGTCTTCTTCAATAGCACAGATATCAATATCGGTACGACCAGCATTGTCTCATCCTGTACCTCTGGAAATTATATTGATGTACCGTACAAAGTTGATATACCGCCCAGTCCTACAGATAACGACTCTTTGCACTAATATTTAGCACAAATTAGGATAAATCAAGTAAAAAACTGTCAAGCAGCGTTGTTTCCCTGCTGTACTACCCCCCAACCCACTCTGTCATCTTCAGGTCTTCTATTTCTTGCCCTCTGTGGCCACTGTTGTTAAAATCTGCACCGCACTTCTTTCATGCCCCCGCTGATCCGAGGTTGTAAGATGCATTTTTTTTAAACCAGTACGACTTATTTCAAAGCCAGACCATGGAGACTGCCTGTGCAGGTACAGGATGCCAATGGACCTGTTAGAACCAAAAGGCTGCGTTCTGTAGCACAGAAAGAATGTGACAAAGAACGAGGAAAACCAGGGTAAGCATCAGTTTGGCATGTCGGAGATGGAGAGAGTGTTCGAAGCATCCAAAGGACTAAAATTTGAAGCAGGTGCGGCTTTCTTCCTGCTAGATGCGATAGTGGCCGGAACATTAGTACTGTATCAATATTACTGGGAAAAAAACATCCCTCTGTGTAATTTGCTTGTGTTACTGCAGATACAAACATCAGACATACATATGCATATTGCTAAAATGTAAACCTCCTTATCTGACACTGTGCATTTGATAATGTGCTGCTGCAATGCCACTGAAAACCACAGGCTCTATATTCCCTATACATTAGTTCTGGAGCCGGTTATTACTGCTGCACTACCTGACTGCCACAACTGTCTCCGGCTGTTGTCATCAGTTTCACAGACAGGGCAGGAGGGGCAAAGAGAAGCAGAGGGAGAAGAGGAGGGGATACTGCTTGGGTTTGTTTTGATTCTCACTTTGCCCTTAACGGTCAAAAATTAGAGGGAGAAGTTAGTTAATGCAGCTTTAAATCTAGGAGATGAATTACTTTGAAAGAAGTCAAAGGTAAAATTAGGAGGAGTGCGAGGTTTACCAAGGTTATTAGGAACAGACCAAGAAAAGCAGTGAGACCTTTAGTGATGCTCTGGTTTCATGTAGAAGCACAGGGTGGAAGAAGAGTTCAGACCTATAGGAGGAAGAGATAAACAGGTAGAAACAGACCGCCGTGCTAGTGCAGGAAACGGAAAGCAAGGCAGAAAAAGAGCACAAAAGGTAGATCGAGACAGAAGTAGCAAGATCGCATGAGAGGACAGAAAGGTCAAGAGAGAAGCTTGCAACACATGCATGAGAATAAAGAAACTCAGCACCCTGCTATCAAGCAAATCCATACAAAAGCCTTTATATATGTATAGTTAATATGCTATTTTGTAAATCTGTAGACAGTGCATGTACATGCGGTTCTCAGCAGTCACTCACTATGATCCGGGACCAAGCCCTGGCCAGGTCGGAGCAGCAGATGAACTTTGTTGCCTCCTGCTTGGATCAGCTCAATTGCCCGAGTGTGTGTGATGCCCTGTGTGGCCTCGCCATTGATCTCCACTATCTGATCTCCAACCTGTGATGAAGATACAGTCCATTCTTACATTTCACAAGCAGGGGACTTTTCAGAAGATACCAAACAGGAGTTCAGAGTGAGATCAGAAGTTTTCAAACTATGAGGCACAGGAATGTGAAGTAAAGATAATAAGTGAAGTGAAAGGGACATGCTGCCATTTTGAAAAAAACAAGTTGTTAGTCATTAAAAGACATGACCTACGCATTTTTCAGTTCAGTGTGAATTACGCTTCCCAAAGATATAACTATGTCCCAGTGTCTGTCATTAATAAATCCATTTAGAAATCACAGAAAAAAAGATTCTCCTTTGAACAACTTGCTTGAACATCATCATGTTTTGAAGTGTTCTTCAGTACCAAAGTAATCCAGTGTTAGTTGTCTGTACATCCACAGGTAGGATTGCAAACAGGAACTTATAATGGTGGCTCATTACAAAAATATAAACAAACATAGGCTAAGAAAATGGGGTTCAAATTGTAGCCCAAGGTCCTGAAACTTAGAGCATTACAATCCTCCAACAGAAACAAAGTAAATCCTTTATTATTAAGTTCTTGGAAAATGAGCTGGGTTGGTGTAGTTGTCTTGATTTTGTCTGACAGGGAACCCACCGTGTCAGACTCTGAAAACTCCAAAGTAAAACCTGTCAATTTCATTTCAAGTGCAACGGTGCAAATGAGTGTTTCCTAGTTCATTCTGAGGAGAGTGACAGACAACTCACATGTATCCTGCCGTCTTTAAGAGCAGGTCCGTCCTCAGCCACTCGCAGACTGAAGCCAAAGCCCCGCTGGCTGCGCTCTAGCTCCACCACAAAACAGCCCTGTTGTTCACAGACAAGAATGTGACCTTTGAGACTGGAGGCCTTCTTAACAGGTTGATAATGAACATCACTGTTGCATGTTTGATATGTATTGCAGCTCAGCGGCCTCAAGGTGTTCAGATGAACTATTTATTGAGATCAGGAGAGTAAATTACAAACATTTCACCGTAAGTTGAGACTAATTTTGGCTTTAGTCTTACCTGCTTAGGGCCTGATGTGATGAGGGTACCCATTTCTGTCTGTGGGATGTGGTTCTTCACTTCACTGTCACCATTCCTACTGCCAAAAAACACCAAAAACACATGATAACATGAACCACATATTGCAGATAACAAGTATACTGCATTTAGTCTAGTTTTAATACAATATGGCACAAAACCTCAGCACACAAGCAGCATATGAAGAAAATATGGAAATGAATATAAACATTTTTATTGGAAACTATATATGATATATACATATATGATCAACACAACGGAAAATAATTATAAGGCTCATTCACATGCTGATAAGTTCAGCATGCTATGTGTAATATAAATTTGAGCCAATGCAGGAACAAATATAATGATGCTGTGTAAATATGTTGTCCATTATAAACAATATTCAGAAATATATTTACAAGCACAAACTACTGATTTGGGGTCTGTATGCAGACTAAAGGCGAGGCTACAGCAATATGAACTGCTCTGTATTGGTTTCATTATACACACAGAGCCCAGTGTGAATCCTTTAAAGAGCTGCTCGATGTTCAATAGCAGATAAAGGGGCAGGCTGTAATGCTTCACAGAGCTCATTACAATGCTAAGGCACTATCACAAGGGTCTAAACCTTCTCGGTGGCTCTGGCATGGAAGAGTCAGCCTCAGCTTATATCTAGCCTGGGCTAACCCGAGGCTTGTGTTAGAGATTAGATGGCGAGGAGGGAGGGGCCTGCTGAGGAATGAACACAGGGCTAAATGAGGAGCTCATGCTCAGAGACGGTGAAACAGAGCAAGTGAGGGTGAGAAATGACGGAGGAGAATTACTGCAGCAACAGCAATGGATTAGGAAGCCTGACACAGGTAATCGTATTTCAAAAGATCAAAGAAGAGGAAGTGAGACACCCTGCGAATCGGTATCTTTTTCTTTTGCTTTGCCATCCAAACAGTGACCATGGAGGGATTTCCCCTCTTTTTGGATAACAAGGAAAATCTGGGCCACAAGAGACTATAACGGGTCATGTTAAAGCACAGAGCAGATCCTACTTTGAGAGGACTTGGGTTAATTTAAGGGGCAAAACCTGTATTAAACTCTCTCCATTGGACTCAGTGTTTAGGAGAGATGCAGGCAAGCCTGTGTGAATGCTTCTGCCTGCATGTGAGCACTTGAGTACCTGTCTGCATAGCTGGGGGTCTGCTGGCCCACAGCTCTGTGCTGTGCTGAAGGGCTCTGCTTGGTTGAATTTGTTCCAGATGGAGGAGTGCTGTCTGTAAAAACACAGTTCATATAACATGCTCATTTACTATAGCTAATATACAGGAAGGCAACTGTCTTACAATCCATTAAAGGACTGAATATTATCTTATTCACAAAAAATACTCATGACATTTTCTCTATAAATCAACCTCACAGAACTGAGACTTCCCCTGTGTCAACCTACCATCTTCAGGCACAACAGTGAGGGTGACAGAATTGCCGGCATCCTTGATGAGCTGTACTATATCGTTGTGTGACAGCTCCATGATAGACTGGCCGTTGACAGCAGAGATACGGTCTCCCACCTTCATGTGTCCTATACGGTCTGTAGGGCTGCCCTCAATAATACGGCCAATCTTGTGAGGTATCACTGAAACGGAAACACAAAGAAAGTGTAAGCTGTTGATTTTTATGTCCTGATGGCAGTGGTCTCTTCCAGGATGACAGTGTCCCCATTCATAGAACACTAGGGGTCACTGAATGGCTCACTGAGACTCTTTATGCTTGCCTTTAGTTTTATTTATATGTCCTTATGATCAGGTTTCTGGACTATTTTGCAGATCACTGCTAAATCATTATATTACCTCATGCTTTTTATTTATTTGATTTTATTTTATGTGAATTTGGTTTTTGTTTATTTCTGACCTCCAGGTGGGGGCTTATTCTTGGACGTGAGAATGACAAAGCCAAAGCCTTCATTGTCTTTGCGCTGCAGAGTAACATCGAAACACTCTGGCCGAGTGGTCTGGGAGGGCTGGACGGCGTTTGGCCCCTCGACACGAGGCATCTTGGGAGAGTTGTTGATCAGAGCAGATGCTACGTACTCGGGCAGCTGACTGCCCTCCTCCACTGCACCACCATCTGGCAAATGACAATGCACAGAAACATGAAGGACTTCTTATAGTCATGCATCCGAGTCAGATCTTCTCACTTCGTTACAACATGATGTGAAACTGCAAAGGACACCTTACGTCCAAAACGTGTCACTTTCCCTAGTAGGGAAACACAAAACTATGCTTGGAGCAGGGGTCATTTTAATTCATGTACATGTTTGTAAAAGGTTCCCAATCTGTACCTGAGAACCTTCCATAAATAATCCCAAGCACAGCAGCTTCATTAAAGCTAGCCTTTTTGCTGCTTTTATGGTACACATGAAATACAAGAGTGTCAACTCTACACTGGAGCTGAAAGCCCTTCACAATTTGTTACTCCTAAGACAAGCTAATCTACCTCAATCTCTCTTCATTGCATGTTTGTTTAGCTGAGCCCCTGTGTTGTCAGCTGGCATCAGGGAGCCTCTTTCTAAACCCCGGCTCTGAAAACATAAATCCTCACATGATTGATGCTTAATTTCTGCAATGTGATCAAAGCTGTTGTTGCAATACATCAAATCCAAAGTAATTTCAAAAAGTGCTTGTAATATTTATGGAATAGTTATTTGTGGGAGTAAACAAACATGAATGCATCAGGGGTTTGTATTGTCAGGAAAGAAAACTTGGCATATTCCTTTTTTCATCTTTTGAGATGTAAATTGACTCTACCATCTGATGTAATCTTCACTGCCCTTCACGCAACTCCAGTCAGCCTTGATACATAAACACAGAGCGAACAATGTCAAACTGTTTCTTGTGAGCCACTTTTGTTTTCCTGTGTTGGTGGATGAAATTCTTACATTTACTTCCCTGTGATTAAAGTAAATTCAGTCCTTTTTTGAAACTTTTTTTTTCTTTTCAGAAAAATATCAGCTAAAATAACATCCTAAAAAGTCAGTTCTGGTTGGACCTCATTTATTGAGATTTATCCTCAAGGAAGTCATCCAGAACAAATTTGAAGGATTAGTGAAAAAATCCCAGATCAAAGCTTTTGCTCAGAGGTTCTTCTCTCGCACACTGATCTACATAAGAAATCCTGCTTTGAAGCTCCAAGTGCTCTCACAGAAACGTAGAGTTGATTATTCAAAAGCAGACCCACCTAAGTGTGGCAGCTTCCTGCGGACTGTGAGCATGACTTGGCCATTACGGGCAGCATTGGTCATCAGCTCCAGCACTTGTTTGTGGGATTTGCCCTTGACTGGCACGCCATCTATACAAAGCAGCTCATCCCCTGCCCGCAGGCGCCCATCCTTCTCAGCTGCACCAAGCGGCACAATGGCACCAATGTATACCTGTGGAAGCAAGAGGATAGAAGAGAATGAACTTGCCATGCTGACCTATGCCACTGTGAGCATGAGGAGTGATGGGCATTATGGTAAATAATCTGTTTAAATCCTCTCAGCTGTTTTGGAGCATCTGATGCTGTGTTTCTTATGTTCAAAGTATTAACCATTATTTCCCCATTGTCCGAAGACACTAGCAGAAATTCAGGCTATTTAAGTAACTGAGCACAGCTCAAACATTGAGCTGCTTGGTGTCTGGCTGATGTTCTCTGGTATCTGAGGGTTCAGGATTCCAGTAACATGCCCAGCCTGGTTGTTAATGACTGGGCTGCTACCTACCGGCTGATCTGGCCCCTCGCCTCCGAGGACTCTGAAGCCAAAGCCTGACTCCTGGTTCCTTTTGATGAACACATCCAGGTCCTTGGTATTAGCAGCTGCAGAGAGAAGGAAATGGGAAGCCATGAAAGACAAAGCACATTAAATATGCTGTTTGTGTTTTGCAAGCTGTGTGGCCAATGTGCATATTGATTTAAACAGATGATTCAAATAGTGTGAAGATTATATTACAACATGCTTAGGTGCCATAGATCTTTAGCCTTCCTTCTTTAGATAAAATGCCCCAAAATATGGGAAAAGTACTTGATTTGATTTGACAAATTTTAATGGTTGAAACTGACACTGTATGTCAATCAGCAGAAAATATTCAGCGAGTGTTTAGGCTCTGGTTAAACTGAGGGGAAAATAATTTTGCATTTAGGGATAAAGACAATATTAGCAGAAAATCATTAATTGCAAGTCTGTTATCCATGATTTTGTTTTTTTTAGCAGAGTCCGGAGCCATGTCCACTTACGCTTACTATCCAAAATGGCCTTGGACTTGAGGTAAAGGTCCGACGCGTCCGGTTTGGGCGAAGAAGAGCGCAGAGTGTTCGCTGAGATGGGGGGTGGATTGGAGGGTATCTCGGGCTGACCGAGGTTCTCTGCGCTGCTGATGGCCTCCTGTCGATGCGCCGCTGGCTGGGAGTACGGATGGGGCAGCTGCTGGGGTATGGGATGAGGGGCCTGTTGAGGAGCAGGCTGTGATATGGTTTGGGGCATGGGAGCTGTGCCCTGCAACACAGAAACAAGAGGTGTATCAATAAACAGAAAGCGTAATTATGGCTTCAGGTGGATGATCACTGTGATCACAAAACAAACCAATCATTTTTCTAGAACGCTACAAATTTATTTATTTATTAATATATTTATTTATTGAAGAAAGATATGTCCAGAATGACATGTTCAAACTGATGCACTGGTCTCCTTTTTAAATATAAATAGTTCATCCATGCACAATATTTCTGTGTTGAGCCAATAAAATGGTATGAGTAAGCCTGTTGTTGCTTCAGCTCCTCTCTATTTTAAGAGTGCAGCATGGATGAGCAGCACAGGAACAAGCTGTTGAACATGGCATATCATCTTAAACACCCATATACAGAGGGATGTTAAGTTGCTGTTTGCCAGGAGCCAGCATATTTACCCACATACAGTTCCAGAAATAACAGCCTGGCTAATGTGCCTCCCTGAATAATGTAGCTAACAACAGCTACCGCAGAACACAGAGTGGTGCATGCGGCTAACCAAACCTTTTTGATTTAATAATTCAGCAGCAGTTTTATCATCTGTTACTCTTTGTTTTACTCTACAGGACAGATTAATAAGTTACATGATTTACTTCAACTTACTGGTTTTAGTGATTTCACTGGAGATGTCTGACCTGTAAGCAGAGAAGAGGATATTTTAAATTCAATTCACTGAGAAAACAAACATGTATTATTAAGCTTAAAGGCTTAAAAGATGAGTTACACTTTGTATATTTGTTCACTCTCCCTCTGACCTTTTGTCCTTCAGTGGTAGAGCTTCACAGTTCATCCTCTCGCACTCCTTACACCAGGGGCTTTTAATTAATTGTGAACCAGGGCCCACCATTGTGACTAAGAAGTAACCTAAGGATCAGTGTTGTGGGGTTGCTACACTGAAAGGGCACTATTTTAATCCTGAAAGTCTCATTGGCTTTTCTAAATTGTATATATTTGCCTTACATTACTGAATGCATGATCAGGGACCACCTGCAATGCCTTTGAGGACCACCAGGGGGGCACGGACCACTGGTTGAAAATCCCCTGCCTTACACAGGGGGTTGCTCAGTACTTAGTGAACTTGCCTAGATGCTTTGTAAATATTTTTCCTCTCTCCCTTGGCTTTGCTCTCTGTGAGTCACAGTGTAAGCCAACCAGCAGAGGACAGTACTCTTTAGTAGAAAGCTCCACAGGATGGGAGACACAGAGGTGACCGACCCTAAGCCGTGGGAAAACGTGACGTTTCTCTAGGTTAAACCTGCCAGCTGTTGGTTACACTACTAGACCTCTGCAAATACACTCACTGGCTGTAGCTTTTCAGATTTTAAATGTCATCAACCAAATTAGACAAATGAAATGTTAGTGGGGGTTTAGGGAAGAATCTGTTAGGTTATTTCATTTTCAAATATTTATACAGAAAATGTCATGGTGGTAACTCCCTGTTGACATTCCCTGATAGGCACTGAGTGCAGTAGCTATCGCACAGGGACGGGCACACTGTCTCATTTCCAGATTTAAACCCAGAGCAGGGATCAGAGCCAAATCCGTCCTGTTTCATTTCACTGTGCTGCTGCCATCAGAATGGAGCTCTGGCCCCTGGCTGGGAGAAAAGTCTAACCTAATCCTGGTCTATGGGTGACCTGAGGGAAGCCCTGCAGCACTGCTTCTGCTGTGATCGCCTGCTCTTTTTAAGGACTAACACACATAAACCCGGCATGCGCACATGTGCCATCAAAAAATGCATACATCCCGTTTCCATCACTTCAGAGGACATTTCCCAGAGAACTCTAACCATAATCACTACTTGCCTATCCCCAGCCTTTACCCTAACTTGAACCAAAACCAAGTCTTCACTCTACAATTCACACTTGTAGGACAAGCCCCTGGAGCTCAGGGCACAACCCAGCCGAGTACAACTGCTATGTGGGGAACCACTGATCTCTTGAATCTAAGCTTCTGCACTGCAGTAAAGGCAAAAAGAACAAGTCCTTCAAATCATAAAAACCTGAAGTATGAAGAAGGTCAAAGATTACTGACCATGACTGTCTCTCCTGCCTTCCATATCTCTTTCTCCCTAAGCACCAAGTGAATCACCAAAGCTGCCATCTCACGTGTCTTACCAGCACAGCTCAGTATGTGACTAAGCATGAATTCATCCCTATTTGGGAAGGCGCATGGTGGATGATGCGGAGCTGAGCAGAGTGGACCAGAGCGTGAAATTGCTTTATTTAACATCGGGAGATTCTACGAGTCCAAGCAATGCCTACAGAACACCACCCTCATGTTATTTATGATTGAAAACATCAAACATGTTATATTAAATCTCATTTTAACTTAGCAGACCTTGAACAACACCGGTGTAACAACGCCGCTTTCTCAATGTCTTAAGAAATGTATTTCAAGTCCAAGCAGGTGGGCTTCTCACCGATTGCTTTCTTCTGGGAAGAACCAACAGATTACAAGCCACACAAAGCTGGGTGTGAGTATAACGATTTCAGAAGCGAGAATATAAATCACCAGACTTTATCCAGTCACTAACAGCTGTCTGTTGTCTGCACAGTAAGCCGAGTAGATTAATAGAGACGGCAGTGATTTAACAACAAAAGACAGCATCAGTCGTGTAACCCCGCCAGCTGTGACATACTTCTAAGGTAAGCTGCAGGCTTACCTGTGGCTGCAGCTTACTGTACACCTGCAGCAAAGTGCACTCTCATTTCTGCCAACTCACCTCCTCTAAGCACCAGCACATTGACCTCACTGCCCACAGGCAGGTCTTTGAGAATGTCCACAACCTGAGAGTGGCTCAACGTCTGGACATTCTGTCTGTTGATCTCCTTGATAACATCACCCTTCAACAAGCCGCGGCACCACTGGGCGTCCAGGATCATCTTCACCTTTTGGCCTAAGGGGCAATCAGCGATGGCGAAGCCGAAACCCCCGGGGCCTTTCACCAGCGGCACGCTCACCAGCTCTGGCTGTAACAGAGTGGGGTCAGGGCCCTCTTGGCTGGGCATATGAGGAAGGTGGTGGTGGTGCTGGTGAGGATGAGGATGGTGGTGGTGGCGCCCTCCGTTGGTCATAGGTTGCACTGCAGCGGTCTGTCTGGAGAGGGTTCCTCCATCTTGGACTGTGTAATGAAGGTCCTGGGGCGTGGAGGTAGAGGGGGAAGGGGAAGTGTCCTTAGAGGTGCTGAGGCCTCCTGACACCTCCTCATTGCTGCTGGAGTCCTCAGGCAGCGGGTAGCCCCGGCACAGGACCATCTGCACGTACTGGTTGACCGGGATGGACTGGAACATCTGCACCACATCAGCATGAGTCTTCCCCAGCACACATGTCCCATTGATGTCCACAATCACATCACCTAAAAGAAGAACAAAGAGCACATTTTACACATTTGTGAAGCAGTTGAATGAGTAAAAACAGTGGGAGGAAGGGAACAGAGTCATCACGATGATAAATGATGGTGACGTGATAGTTATCTAGCTGGACTGCGTGAGTAGAATCTGTATCTGTGGTTCTCTGCTCTTCCAACTCCAAACATTCATAGATGTTAATGAGGATGGAGAAAGTATAAAAGATCACTGACGTGCATTTCTGTTCTTCCTCTTTTCATCTCCTTGTGAGGGGGGGAGAATCTCATCACCCCAGGTCTGGCAAGGATAAGCAGTAGGCCTGCATGGCCCCTGAAACGCTGACTGGCGAGCTGGCAAAGCACCCAGAGGAGGATTCAGCCCACCTACACAATCAATAACCTCTCCTAGCAAACACAGCTAAGGATTCACTCTCAAAATGAGCTCCATATCCTAATGCAGTGACTGCTCATGCTCCCTCCATACAGTCTAACTTGTAACCAAGCATCTACAACATAATAGAGGTGGACCCTATATTCTACATTTAGCATAAATAAATGCTCCTGACCTGTAGTAAGACATTATTAAATCCAAAGCAAATTACACAAAGTTGTTATAGCCCACTGCTTGCTATTATAACCAAATGAAATTAATTAAATTCATTTTTTGGTTTAATCAATTAGATTCCTTCTCACGGGGAATGAAACACTGAAAATAATTACTCTCTCTGTTCCACTTTCATGTTGATTCTCAGCAGCAGCACTGGTGTGGCTATAAGCGCCATTCAGTGCAATCAGTATTACTGTAATGCGAATCCTCGTGAGGAACTTCACTAGCAGTAATTCAAATGATTGCAGTAGCTACATACACCATACATATCTGCACTGCAGTCTGCCCTATATGCACTCTCTTTCCACAAGCAGGCTTGTAACCCTCTGGCCATGAAAAGACAAGCAGTTTGCAGACCTCTTAAATCTCTGATATATGGCTACATACAAAATCTGGGTGGTAAACATAAACTGAACCTGTGCTTTATTGACAGAGGTTTCCCATTTGCAGAGCTGCTCCATGAACACTTCCTCTAAGCATTTGTCTTTGCTTGATCAAGCAATTTGACTTCATGGAGCCTGTTTTGTGTTGATTCTCTAAATGTATTTGTGTGTACAAAGTACATAAAACTGGTGTTATTGTGGAAGGCATGAATGCTGATGCCAGGCCTGAGTATTACTATGTGCATAGGCATACGTGCAAAGAGTGTGCATGTGAATGTGACAGTAGATTGCATTTTGTTTAGACAAGTAATAATGTTTGTCTCTTGGTTGCTCTTTCTTCTCTAGCAGTTTCTCCCTGTATGACTTTGCTTTAGGGTCATTTACACCAGGATGGTCTTTAACCGCTAAGCCAGAGTGCAGTGCAATGCGGACCCTCGAGTGCACCTTCCTGAACCTTAGGCCCGTGGGGGAAGACTACCTGAGGCGATCTTGTTGTCATGTGCGGCAGGCCCATCTGGAAGGACGTTTTTGACCTGAAGGAACTCGTCGGGTCGGTCTCCCCCGATGATGGTAAACCCAAAGCCGTGGGGACTTTTTCTAAGTTCTGTCTGCAGGATGGAGCCCTGCAGCTGAGATGGATCCCGTGTGAAGCCCCGAACTCCCTTGCCAGGCTCTTCTGTTGTACAGATGGTGGGGGAGAAAAAGGAGAGAGATTGACAAGAAGAAATGCACACGGACATGAAGAAATATATTTAATTTCTGTAATTACTACATGCTGTATTGCTTCTGTTTGTTTACTCTAACATATTACACAGTTCTAGCCTAGCAATGAGTAGTGAGATATGAAATTGAACTTTTATATTAAAATTAAAATGAAGTCAGTGCCATTAACTCTATAAACGACAGCAGCACATCTTTAAAGTTCCCAGGTTTACGTGCTGCGACTGTCCATGTGGTACAGACACACGTATGTGTGTGTTTAATATTAGGCTTAGTCATAAATTGCCATCCGTTTCCATCATAACAGCATCCACACGCTGACAATGTGTCTGACAGCACACTGCTCACTGCTACTAATTCCATGAACACTCTGCAAACTCGCACTTTAGGTGCAATCTTAAACAAATCACGTACACACATCGACACACTAAAGTTGTGAGTCTACTGCTCTGTTTGCAAAGCCAGTAAACCTCCAGTCGGTGTAAAGCATCTATATTTCGCCCCAGTCTCACAGCATATAACAATTCCTTTCACTGCAGTGATAAATCCGCCCTGAAATACGCCTGACATTTTCCAGGTAAACTTTTCATTGCAGATTTCCTTTGTGGTGCCTGTACGATGTGTAAATGGGGCAACTTTATAGACGACAGGAAAAGAATTGCATTTCACAGTGTGTGCAGATGTATGCGTGTGTGTGTGTGTGTGTGTGTGTGTGTGTGTGCAAGAAAGAGAGCAAGATAAAAGTGATGAGACAGAGAGAGGCAGAGAGAAACAGAAAGCGTGAAAGTAACTAAATCCTAGCTTCCCTGGGGTGTGAGCCTGTGAGTTGTGTGACTTTGTCCCTGCATGCTGGGCCTGTTCTCTGGAGTTCCCACACTGATAGATGGCAGGACATCAATCTCATGAAGGAGGATGCTGATTGAAGTCCCCCCCTCCATTGCCCTGATACTGTGTCATAGTGTTTTGATTTGCATAATTGGATTGCACTTGGCAGTGACCGCACAGTGTGTGTGTGTGTGTGTGTGTGGGTGGAGGGGTTAACATGATATTTTTGGTTCTGGGCTGTGCCGGAAAGATTTTTACATGATTATATATGTAAACAAATGCTCAGTAAGAACTTTATGATAATGTACTGGGCATATGAGTGAGAACAGGTGCAACAGATTCAGTTGTGAGCACGTGTGTCTGCTGGTTAACAAGATGAAGCCCCTTCAGACTGACCACGCATTCCATGTGGGGAGGGGACTACACACCAAACCCATGTTTACATAATCCTGATTAAGCTGTGGGCCACAAAGGGTGAAGTGATTACATGAAATGCCAAGCAGGATTGCCAGCGCTGTAATTATGGCTGAGCATAGTGCTGCGCTGTGCTCCTGTGCTCTGCAGGAAGGTCTGCGAGGTCAGGCTAGCCAGCCTTGTCAAAACAGTGTTTAGAAGCCACCTCACGCACATCCACACACTTTCACAAGACCACTCGCCATTAATTCTCATTAACAAGGGTGGGAAGGTGCAGAACGGGCACGCGGGAGGCAGCTGAAGCTGGAGGTGGTGGCACACAGAGGCAATATCATCCTCAGACTGCAGAGAGGCTCAACTGTGGGAGGTGCATGCAACAGAGTGAGCCAGACAGTTCTGTCCAAGGGATGTCTGAAATACAGAGGCTAGTTTGAATACTAATGAGGCCCTGCTTTGTGTGTACGTGCACAAAAGAGTATAATAATTCTTACTTATGTTACAGCAACACAGGGCTTCCACTTTGGAGACATTTACATGGACTGAGGAGACAGTGATTAGACCAGTCAAGCAGCAGCATTCACCACAGGGGGTAAATGATGAACAGATGACCCAGTAGAAATGCAATTTATGATCATAAGTCACTTTCAACTGCTGTCACCGCTCTCTCCTCCTCTGTCTCTTCTCTCCCTCCCCTCCTCTGTTCTAACGAGAGTTCTTTGGACTGCGATGAATGATGGTGGTAAAAGCATTTTCAAATAGGACTCAGAACCCTCCCTATTTCATATCTACTTGTCAAAATGAATTCTGCCACCCAGTGAAGCGCTGCTCCATTATTCAAATTGAATATCATTGCTTCAGAGGCTACAGGCTGTTTATCAGCAGCCATGTCAACTGTTAGAACATCCTCCACACAGACATCTCTGCATAAAGGAGGTAGTAGAAGTGCTCCAGTATCTGGATAACACATGAATACCTTGTTATATAACCTTGTTACACAGGATTTTTTCTAAAACTACAAAGCCAAAAGTTATTTTAACAACAGTCTCCTGGCTGCACCTCACGGGATGGCGGAAAAAGGAGGAAACACAGAACAATGTAAAAATTACTGATCTAAAACACTATGGATCAAGCTGTTGATGCTCCAGTACTGTGTGTCAACCTCTATAGTTAACTACACAGTGACTGACACCATTTGTGTTATTTGAAAACCTTTGATAACACAGTACGTAGCTATGACTAAAATCTGTTCATGATGCTGTGAGATTTTTAATGAATCCCACAGTCCCACTGTCAGTAGCCATCTTGAGTTACACAACACCAGCAACAAACAGACAGACAGACAGACAGACAGACAGACAGACATGCTAGTGGCTCTGTACTTATGTACAGCTGAGCTTTGAGCTAATTGCTAAATATTAACAAGCTAACATTTGTTAGCATTTGTTGACATTAAACACAAAGTCCAGCTGAGGAATGTGAGAATGTCACTGGTTTTACAGGTTTTTGATGATAAACCAAAGCTATAAGAAAATTTAAATGTTGACCTGATGATGGCGCTGAATGAAAGGTTTTGCCAAAGTTAATATGATTCATACTTAGGAGGACATGAGTGGCTAGACCAGATGTCATGGCAATTCATCCAACAGTGGACACATTTTAATATAAAAGACAAAGGTCAACCTCACTGGAGTTAAAGTAAAACTCTGGGTATCACCACAATAGTTAGTATTCGTCCTCTGGCACCACTGTGCCAAATTTCATGTCAGTTCATCCAGTAGCTGTTGACATATTTCATCCTGGACTAGAGGGATAGACCAGATGTCCAACACTGCAAGCCAGCTAAGTCATAAAATGCATTTCTAAAAATAATATACAACTTTGATTTCTCTTTAAGGGTTATCCAAGGCAAAACTGAAATTCATTATATGTGCCACTTAGTCCTTCCTCACTCTCTCCATTCCACAATTTAGAGCAGATGACATCACTTCCTGTCCATTTCCCTGATGATCTACTAGGGGAAAACTCCCTGGCCTGACTTGAACCTTCCTGAACTGATATTTGCTTCCTACTACCTTTTTGCATAACCATCAGAATAAAACTAAATAATGACTAGAATGATCTCACTCCACTGCAGCTCCTTCCTCACTTGTAAGCTACCGTAAATACCTCTGCAGGGGGCTTGGCTGTGGGTGTAGTCACCTGACGGTGTGGATGTCGGCGGCGGTACCATGGTGTCTGTGTCCACACTCAGCTTTCTCTTAGCTTCCAGTACTGGATTCTCAAACTGGGTCTTCTGGTTGATGTGGCTGCACCAAGGGGAAAATAACATTAGACGAACAAGAACTGGAAACAGTAGGAATTGTTAAATAAATCATGACTGTTCACATCAACTTTAGCGGGCATACTGTTCATCCAACCATTTTCACCCAGTCACTTCACCTATGTTAGTCTTTCTGCTTTTGTATCTGTCTTCTTCTTACATTATCTTTTGGACTTACAGAACACAATCAGTCTAAACTGTTGAGACTGTTCTTTGCCGCCTGTCATGCAAATCTGTGATTTGACTATGAGGGCTGGGTGTGACATCATCTATGCTGGGTAGCCATCATCATATGGTACAAAGGCTGCTCTAAGACAGCATGTGCACTGGCAAGACATGCTAAGTGAGCCAAATGGATTTACCTGCATCCCTGTAGAAATCTGTCTGAAAAGACAAGCAAACAAATACAATCTATTTGAACTACTAACATTCAAATGATTGGATTGTTCTTGTCCATTACCGAATAGATTATTCAAATGTTCACGGGTTAGGTTGGAAAAAATATGTCAAGGCCTCAGCTAATAACATCAACTAAGTGGAGTTAGGTGTCAGCAAACCTGGAGTTCAATCAATGAAACCAGAGTGAAGGTGTGGGGTAGAGCTACTCAGACATCGCTTAAGACAGATCTCAGAAGACCTGTGTTTAAGAATTGCTCATTTGTATAATGCTGGAAAGGGTTACAAAGTGATATCAAATATATCCTGAGACTATATCTGAGCTGAAGCAGCTCTGTGAGAAGAATGATCCAGAATTCCACCTGATCTTTGTGCAGGTCTGAACCACAGATACAGGAAGAGCTTGTTAGAAGTAACTGCTGCCAAAGCAGGGTCAGCCAGTTATTAAATCCAAGGGTTCACCTGCCTTTTCTACCACCACTGTGAAAAATTGTGTTCGACAAACACATGAAAAATCATTTTTTGTGTTATTAGCTTATAGCCACTGTGTTTGTCTATATCAGATCACATTAACACAAATTAATGCAGAAAACCCAGCAATTCCAAAGGGTTAACATATTTTTTCTTGCCACTGTAAACCAAAATCTGTCTGTGCCAAAAGACAAACACACAGAAGGATTGGGAGCATGTCTAAACCTCAGAAATAAAAAACTGAATTGACATGCTCAGTGAATTCAAAAAGAGCTAGCTATAAAGAATATATAGTTATCTTTGCTGTGGTAGATCACGTTGTCGTGATGGATTAAATGTCTACTCAATGCACAGTAACCCTAGAGAGATGTAAACAACAATGTGGCTGGAAACAACCAGTGCTCCGTAGCTACACCAAACTCAATATAAAAAGAGTTAATGATTCACAGGACAAGCCGGTGTGCTGCAACATTTCCTGGTACCCAGAGAAATGTCCCTCCTTGGCTAGATAGTGATGGGAAGAGATAGCTCATCTGCATAACCAGCTTTAATGGCTGTAAATCCCAGTCATGAGAACACCTTGGGAAGACAAAATGCACTGATGCCGTACAGTGAATCGGCCACATGCTGAGACACTGATGGTTTATATGTGTGTGCATTCAAAAAACATACTTTGTACGCTTGCTGCGTGTGACTCATGCACACAGATACCCTCCCCATTATGCCTGAAGAGATAAACATTCTTTCATTTCCACTTTTTCATTTCCTCCCTTGCTCTCTGTCTCGCTTTCTCACTCCTTGATTGCCACACCTCATGTTTTGTGTGGCAGTTGAAAAAATAATGAGACTTTGTCCCACATTGTAGCATCTGGCCATTCATTCACAACCACATTTCCCAGACAAAGAGACAAAGACAGGAGAGGCAGCCTCTGAGTGACCCTCTTCCATAAACAGGCACGTTGATTTCCCCCTGCTGGCAGGTCTGTCCCTTTTTGTGCACAGCAATAGGACTAAAATGAAACACTGTGCTCTTGTTTACAGACTTGATCAGAATGGAATTTTGCTCCCCGTTGGCCCCCGGGGACTCTAAACCTTCATTGTCTGTTGTCCTCGCTGCCTCTTCTCTTTCACATACACACATACAAAGCTGTAACGCACCAGTGTTATCAGTACTGACATAACTGCTTTCTGAGGTACTGTGGGAAATTATCAAAGGACAACTGCATAATCTGCCACAATCACATGGTGAACAGATACCCTGAGATTCAGCAACACCACATTTAATACGTCTGTACATTTGGAATTGACTGACATGGCTTTAGGCTGCAGAACATGTGAATATATTTATGTTGCCATCAGGGCCTCAACACTGACAATATAGTACCATAAACATGTTCACTGCACATTTATTTTGTTAACATCCATCTAATATTTTTAGGATATAATGATAAACAAATCTTAAAATATGCATCTTAGTGAAATCAAATGTGCAGACCTAGCTTCAGAGGACCCAAACAGGTTGAATGAGCAGAACCTTTTGTTGCCATGTCAGCAAAGACATAAAGAAGCTGAATATAATGATGCAGTTAGCCCGTTCCTCTGCATCCACCACAGTGCACAGCTGTAGCCCTCTGGGTCCCTCCAGGCACAAGAAGAGGTTTACTTACTCTACATAGTAGGTGCCGTACTGGGGATCCTCAATCTTCTCCCAGCCGTAGGGCAGCTCTGAAGGAGGGAGACAGAGGAAAAGCAGGCGCAGATCACTTCAGATGCTGCTGAGACACTACAGGGACAGTTGGACACACGCAATGAGGCGTAGAGTTCTGACTGGGAGCTTCACAGCATGCATACCTACACCTACAGGACACAAGGCCTGCTTTTATTTGTTATTATGTGTTTAGGGCTTAATACACACTATTGAAGAGGCAGTGAAAGAATGAGGAAACTCTGCCTCCCTGTTAAAAAACTGCTTTTCTTTCCAGTGGTGTGTATATGAGCCACATCTCGACTTTCTGCTGCTATGTGACAAACACATGCAGCGCAGAGCATATCTTTACGCAAGAGGGACCATAGAAAATTGCCTTTGAGAGATGCCACACTGATGAGCTCCCTGTATGTGTCCCAGAAACCATTAGGAGGAGAGGGACAAGCTGGAAACCAGAGGATTGTGCTGTGTCACTGGCATGACTGTGACCAGACCCACTCAGCTGTTCAATCTCCATCTGTAAGCCTGAGCCCCCTCCAGAGAGACAGGGAGGCAACTCAGGCACACACTGCTCTATGCAGTAGGAAGCTGGGAGGTGTGTGAGTGGGGAGGACAGTGGGACTGAGGGATATAGTTGCCCATGCTAATGTTACTACCAGAGAATCATGGTCTATACATATTGTCTCACCTCCTTCCTCGCATTTCTCTGGAGGCTTGGCCTTCTTGGCAAGGCGGGGGTCCAGCCAGGTAGTGGTCTTGCTGTTGTGACTGAAGTACAAAGAGGAGACAGGGCTTTAGGCACCTTAAAATAATTTTGAAAACACTTAAGATACCGTGGTAATTTAGCAATTAGCACGGGGAACTCTCAGGAGCCACTTTACCCAGGAGCTATTCCACTAGCTCCAACAAACAAACAAACAGAGCTCCTTGAAGAAGTGTGGCGAACATCTAATCTTTTGGGATCAAATAGCTCATTAGAGAAGCCTTTTAATTATTACTAACATTTCAACAAAACACAGAGGACCCTTCAAGGTACAAGGATGAGAGAGAAAGAGAGAGAGAGCAATAATAGGACGGAGAAAAGAGGGATGAAAAGGAGGAATACATGGAGCACAGAAAGAAAAGTACGAGCAGTTGCAGAGATCATAAAGAGAAGAACTGAGAGAGCAGGTCAGTGGTGGCGAGCATCATTTAGCCTGTTGTTTCTCTCACTGGCAGAATGAGCTATTGATTTAGCAGCGAGCAGCAGCACCTGGCTCTGTCGGCGCCTCAGCATTGACTGCTCGCCACACTAATGGGCCAGGTAAACAATGTGGGCCTGCTGCTTTTAGCGCCAGCCAACAAACCCGATATCAAACACAGGGGAAATAAAAGAAAAACTTAATCAAGAACAACACAACTGCCACTGCTGAGGCTACAGACAGCTTCCATAACCAACACCTGGTGTGACACAGTGCAGAAGAATGCGCTGGGGAGTAGAGAGGACCCGCTGCCATATCTCTCAACAATTTTGGCTTACAATGGCAGAAAAAGAGAGGAACTGGAAGACTACTGGTGGTGGAATTAGCATGGTGCTGATGTAATGGGCGAGTAACAGGACCAAAAAAGCAGGCAAGTGGCAGGAGAAAGGCTACTTACTCTATGAAATAGACCATGCCAGTCTCAGTGTAGGCCATCTCCCAGTTTTTAGGTAAGGACTCCTGACTTTCATCCTGTGTGTTCCATACACGCAAGTCCATGGCCCCAGCTGACTGGTTGTAGCTGGGCACTGTCTTCCTCCACTCCGCCTTGTCCTTGTGATCTGGGGCCCGGCATGGAGAAAGGGACACAGGCATGGAGACAGAGAGAGGAATGGGATGGGAATAGGAGTATGGGAGATGGTAGAAGGAGAAAGAGACAGGAGGTGAGAGTGTGGCGCCACTGGAGCTCCTCTGGGCTCCTTGCATCTCTCCCTGTTGCTGCTGCCGCTTGAGCTGCTCTTCCTCTGTACACTGGGTGGACAGTTACATCCACAGGAGAGGTAGGGGTAGAGAGAGGGAGAGAGAGAGAGAGTACACAGAGAGAGGCAGCAGCAATTGCCATAGGATTTGCATGTCAGCTGTGATGTACTAGGAACTGCCTCCTAAGCAAAGGCTGAGCTGACCAATGCTTCAGTCCAGCCACAAGCACTACATCTATTAGTATCACAGGCTGCTGCAAGAGTTCGCATATATGTGTGTAGTTGCCTAATCTTGATGTATGTGTGTGTGTGTGTAAGGTTCTTATCTGCTGGTTTTCATCTAGTTGTATATGACCTAGCTTCATCATACCACTGAATGCTCAGTTTGGCCTAAGCAATTGAATGGCAGGGATGGAAAGTGACTAAGAGCTTTTATGCTGAAACTTGGGCCTGTTTTTCCTGATGGAACCACGGAGGGGTTTCTGCACTAATCAAGTCAGAATAAATGACTACATACCGACACTCACTCTGGGCTACAGCAGCTTTCAGCCCTTGCAGAGAGATATAAACTGTGACTTGTGTGCAAATGTGGCCATGTACTGTAAGAATGTTAACAGGACACAAAAGAAAAATGGCTGCTCACAGTAATGCAGGGCCATTACAAAGCCACCTCCTAGCCATGGTGATATGTCTTCTGCTACTGCTGCTGTTGCACATCCTCACCACGTCGAACAATGAAAAACCATCCACATGCTGATGATGGTATAATGAAGTGCATCTGGCATTAGGCAACTCATGAACTAAAGAGCCAGGCGTGACATCAATCTATGAGTGTTTCTTCTTGGCTGGGCTCCACACTGCCATCACTACAGCCCAAGGCCACAGAGATGATGTATCTCTGACAATGTTTCTCTCTTTGGCTCTTGGCTGAGAGATAAGCAGTTCATTCTACATGCCTGTTTATCATTTGTTTTAAATTTCTTCTTAACCCTTCTTCTGTAAGTAAATAGTGAAAAGATGCTCCCACCTTCCTCCCGTGGACAGCAGAAGTGCTCACTACAAGAAATACTAATAGTGTAATAATCACTTTATTTGGCCCAGTATATTATACACACAAGGAATTTGTCTCCGGTACCAAACTGAAGCAGCCGTCTGCGACGCCAACTCACACCCTGCAGGGCGCTGCTCTGGCCATCGGGGTCAATGTTTTGCCCAAGGACACTTGAACATGTGGACTGCAGGCACCATGAATCAAACCGCTCTACCCCCTGAGCCACAGCCGCCCCCCCCCCACTGATATGTTCTTGAGAACATACCTAAACTCTGCGGGTTCAGTACAGAGGACACTTGAACATGTGGACTGCAGGCACCATGAATCAAACCGCTCTACCCCCTGAGCCACAGCCGCCCCCCCCCCACTGATATGTTCTTGAGAACATACCTAAACTCTGCGGGTTCAGTACAGACACCGATCTGCCATAACATTATGACCACTGACAGGTGAAGTGAACAACACTGATTGTCTTATTACAGTGGCACCTGTCAGTGTGTGGGGTACATGAGGACATTCACCCCTCAAAGCTGATGTGCTGGAAGCAGGAAAATGGGCAACATAAGGATTTGAGTGATTTTTGACAATGGCCAGACTGTGATGGCTGACAACTGGGTCAGAGCGCCTCCCACACTGCAGGGCTTATTGGGTGTTACTGGTCTGCAGTGGTTAGAAACAAACAACAGCATCTAAGGAAGGACAAGCAGTGAACTGGCAACAGAAACACGGGCTCACTGATGATGAGGTTGACCTACTGTAGATTAAACTTTAAAACCCTATGAAGAGAGACATTCAGTGGCTATAGTGGTGATATTACACTTAGTGGGGAGGCTGATGAATTTGTCTAAAACATTCTCTCTAACTTGTCCTCATGGCCACAGTTTTCACTCCTTTTACCCAAGTTTTACACTGAATAGTCGATAGATCTATGCTCGTCCTGACAGTAGTTACAGGCCCGTCACTGAAGCCACAGCAGAGGACTTCTGCCAGAAGCTGCTACTTTGTTCAGCTGATGAACAGTACAGTAAGTAGGCCTAAACATTTTTTAATATGGGTCATTATTATGTAATATGTTGGCACACAATTCTGACTTACCCTGTAACACTTTATATTGTGATGTTTGATAATTACAAAGCACAGAGCTTTTCCAACTTTAACAATGAGGACAACAGTTCGCCAACAGCTGAAACACATCCTTAATTTGTTTGGGCCACGAGCCATGTGAGGACCTCCTTGTGGGCCAATCAAACAAGGCCAATGTCTATCTCTTTAACTGAGGGATTGCTTCTGTTGATCTCAGACAGACTTTGGCTACCTCTTAACTTTGCAAGGCTGTGACCCACTGCAAGCCTTGAATGCAGAACAGTGAATCCTGATAATGTTTCTTTGCAGAAAACAATGAAAAGGAGGAGAGTAATATGACAAACTGCTCGGCAAAAAAACTAAACCGGTAACACTGAACCAAGAAAAAAAATTGCTGGGGTTTAAACTTTGAGAAAAGCACTGTGGGGCACAGCTGCATTACAACCAGCTGGAAGAATTGTTATAGCAGTGAAAAATAAAAGACAGAAGTGTCTCTCACCAGCCATGCCATTGACCATCAGAGGCCTCTCTTCCTCCTCTTCCTCCTCTGGAGCAGCGCCGTCCTTTCTGTCCATCTTACTGACAGAGGTTGTGCGTTTTCTCTGCACCACCGTGTCAAATTCCTCATCAAACAGAACCTGGTCTACCAGGTCCGGCTGCACGGGGCTGGGCTCTGCAGGGGGCTTAGGGGTCCCATAGTAATTTCCTAGGATGAAGAGAGAGACAGAGACAACAAAAACTACTCATGAATGTGCTTTACTTAACATCTGGGGGTTTCTTTAATTAAATCCATTGCACTGACCTAATTCAAGACAACCTTTAGCTACAAACCTTAACATAAAAAACCCTTACACTTGGCAAACTCTATATCTACTTCTAAACATAGCCCTAAGAATGGACTGAAAAATTGCTTGACAATCCTTTTTTGAAGCGTTTTCCACCTTTGTCAGAGCATTTGGTCCTTGTGAATATAGAATACCACAAGGCAGCCACAGACTCACTGCAGGTCTCCTTTAGGCTTCATACACCACAGAATAGGACGAGACAACTAGATCCACTCTGCTACTATCAGAGCAAGAAGAAACTATATTACCTCCGTTGTAGCAGTTGTTTAAATTTCTTTTAAATCGCAGGGGAGAGTCTGGTTGTTAGCTACAAATCAAATCTGGCAGAGCCTGTACTGGTAGGAACAAAATGAGGCCAAACCTTTGCCGTTATAAGTCTTGGGTTCTGGAGCAGCCTTGTTTTGTTTTTTCCCTTCGGTGCTGGATGCAGTCTAGTCTTGGCTAATTCCCACAGAGTTCACTTTGGCAGAAGCTTTACTCACAGTACCATATGCCTAAGGTCACTTTGTCTCCCAAGACCCAAACTTCAGGTGCAGCAAACAGGAGCTATTAATGTATTAACCAAGACATGATCCCTTGCTGGCTGTGAAAATTGAGCGAGACAAAATTCTCTTCTTTTCTAATTGTTTTACTTTATTCTTCATGTCCTACACAATCTTTGTGTTCATGTACCTTTCCTATTGTATTTTATTATGGTTATATATATTTTTTATTATCTTTATTAGTGTTCTGATTCACTGCTGCAGTAGTCCCAGCGCTCAGTCCAAAGCCAAGAAGCCGGGACTGACACATTTCCTGGTTTACTCCCCTGAGGAGCTGTGACTACAGCATTTATGCCAAGGTACGTTCTTAAGTACTTGATTTCCCCTTTAAGTACGTCAGCTTGCCTTTGCTGCCATGTTGGCGCCTAAGGCAGCAAACAGCCTTACTCCACATAGTGAGTCTTTCCTCAGCTAGGAGAGGGGTGACCCACTTTACCACTCACTACCTGTCTGTGTGCAAGAAAATAAGGAACAACAAACATAAAAGCACAAGGGGTGAGAAAATAGATGGGAAGGTATGGTACAAATGATGATTCACTGATTGCTTGCTGTCTCTGGGAAATAACAGTCCTCCAGTGTTCATGTGGGACTGCGGCGGGGTTAAGGCTGAGCTGGTCTGAGCAGCTGAACACTGTAACAGTTAAACAACACATCAGGGAGGAGACAGATATAGGGAAGAAGAAGTCCACTGGGAGGGAGAGAGAGAGAAACGAGAATAGGAACAAAGGAGTAAAGACTGGAGGCAGCAGAGAGTGTGAGGAAAAGAGACTTGTGAACATTTTCCACACAGAGTAAAATAAGGAACACTCTCGTTTTCTCTCATTTAAACAAATATATTTCAAAGCCTATCATATGGAAAGGGTACAGATTGATTTACTTCACATGTAAATGCAAAGTTACTATCACGGCAATTTAGAAATAACCATCACAAAGTGTGTTTATACTTCACAGCTGAACAGTGTGTTAGTTGCCGTTATTATGAGATGCTAAACAATCAAGGCATCAACTGGCGCAGTTCCTCTGAGCGTCATGTCGAATAATACACCATAACTGACAAAGGTAATTCTATTAATCCTTGTTTTAATTTATGAAGCATTCATATAAATATTCTTATTGCCTTAATGAAAATAATTACGTAAATCCTTTATTGGGTTTGTAATTAACAGGAAGCTTAGTGACAGAAATTGAGAGAGTCTGATTAGAAGTGGTAATCTGCTCTGTGCGTGCCTCTGCTCCCAAAGCTTCCAAAAAGGCACAGTTAGTCCCCATTAGCAAAGAACTGGGATACAGGGGCCATAAGAAGGAAGTGCACTGAGATGGATCAGGTTGTAATTACACTGTACTAATGAGCCACAATATTAAAAAGAAAGTCTTTAAGGAGAACTTGTAACTTTATCCAGTACAGATGTAAAACCATAAAACCCCCAAAAAGAACTCAAGGGACTGGAGGTTTTAATTTCACCTTAAGAACTAAATTCATGCATCATTTAGTTTCACTTCAAGTTAATTTAGCAAAATTTAGCATTCCTATTCTGTAACTATGAGTACAGTGCTCTCTGAGTCTACTGACAGGTCTACTGTTCTATTTAGCACAATGCATAAGCCTATTTTATTACAGAGGTTATTAATTATTCACAGCCGCAGTTAATAGTTTAATAATTATAATTAGCACGACACAGTTAAATGTGCCAAAAGTTGGGTGAACATTCCTACAGAAGCCCAGTATTCATGTTAAATGATGTTTTCACACATCACAGGGTCCTGCAATCAGTATCAGGCCATGCCTTCATAAATCTGCTGGGCCCCGCGATGAGCAACACTGTTCTCTTAAGCTGCTGTTTCCGCCTTCCCTCACCCAAACAAGGAGTAAAATACTCAACTGCTGAATTTTTTTTACCCAGCCTCATATCTACATAGTATCTTCTTAGGCTAAGCTGCTGTGGCTGCTTGTATTGGCTTCAGAGATGCTATATCTGAATGCCGCGGCCTGCTCATTAGTCCTATCTAGCTGTACTAGTGCTACCTGTATTTAGTAGTTATGACAGAAAACACCACTATCTGACCTAGTGCACCTTTAAAATAATCTTGAATCCTGTCATCGCCCAAGAAAAGAGCAGGTATTTAGTGGCATGTCCCAGGTTTCTGTTTACATTGTCTCTGCTCAGGTTCAGCTCCACTGGCTATGACAACTGGCTTGTTTGGCCTGCTCAGCTGTCCAACCACCATCAGTCTGCTTCCATCACTAATACCCAAACTTGTCCTTTGAGAAGAACATTTTGGTAAAAAATTGATTTTTTTGTGTTTTTGAGAGAGTGCAAGTCTACAGGATCATTAGGTGGGCACCTGCTGAGTGGCATTTCTTTGACTTGGGCCCGTGATACGGGTCAACACTGTGCGCCAGCCTGCCACCACTCCATCTGCACCCACACACTCAACACAACCCCACAGAACAAGTTAGGTTCACTCCACTATCTGCATGCTAATTGGCTACAACCCACTAATTCAATATCAAGGTACAAAGGATGCTTCTCAACCCAGCAGCCAAGCAATCATCTCAGCAAGTAGTAGAGCTTCCATTCCTATTTCCCTAACAAGCCTGCTAATGTAATTAGCATGCTAATTATTGTGCTAACTGCATTCTAAGCTAGCAACACACTGCTGGGGAAAAACCCCTAAATTCTGATTAATTTTCTACCATGAAAAAAGTCTCGTTTTTCTTTTTATGCGACAAATATAGTATGTTTTACACATCAAAGATTTCAACTAGCTGTAGAGGTAACGATTAGATTTAATTATTAAAAACAAATGTAAAATAGACAACAGCGGGCTACTGCAGATCAACCAGCTGCACCTTTGTGATTCTAATAAATAAATAGGTGAATGATGAACTAAATGATATCAGATTAAATAACACTTAACACAGAACAAGCACAACAACATTTTCATTTTACTTAATAATTTAAAGGACTAGGTAGTAGTTTTAGATCTTGATCTTTTTCAAGAGTCCTGCGTGCACAATTATACATATATGCTGTCCAGTTTATATATGAACAGATAAGGTAAATGTTGCACATTAAATTATTACAGTTTTACATTAGAAAAGTAATCACAAGCGATATTGCAAGTACCCGAGTACGTTTTCTACAGCCCATTCTATTTGTAGGAAGCATAGTGTGAAACCAGACCTCCCGAGCTCAGTTTGAACATAAAGCACAGTTAATATTAAAATATCCTTTGAGCTGATACTGTAAGTAATGTGTTTATAGGAGAGCAGAGGTAATGAGGCAGTTTTTGCAGTTGAGTAAAAATAAATATGCAAATATCCGTCACATAAGGAGGACCATCCCACCTGTAAGACACAATAGTGAAGGAAGAATGCATCTCTTCTAACAAAGCACTACACTACTGTACACAGAGTCAAGGTGCTTGAGGGTGGAGGAAGAGGCATGCATTTACACAATATCATCATAATAAAGAGAGGACATAATAGTAGATTGCACAGTGGTCTCCCATGAGAGGCGGTTTTGTTTCTGTGCAAAACAATAAAAGAATAAAAATAAACCACAGAAAATGTGGTCCTGAATTAGCCCACGAGAGAGAGAGAGGGAGAGGGAGAGGAAGAAGGAGACAGGGAGAGAGACTTTATTCAGGTTTTACTTTTATTACTTTACTTGCGTTACTTACGTTTGTTATGTTTTAGCTTAAATTAAAAATTAATTAATTAATTAATTAATAACTGTGGCTTGTACACTGTATGAAAAGCTTCAGCTTGTGTTTGTTGACGTAGTTTTGTGGTGGACTTTCAGCTTTACTTCAGCCTCTTTTCAGTTTCTTGACTGACTGTGTGACCTTGAATTCATCCTTCCACAAACCTCCTCCAACACTGATCTAACTTGTCTGTGACCCTAATTATCAAGACAAAGACCTTTCCTATTGGGGTGCGAAGAACCAAAAACACTGGGAAAAATTAAATCCTGTTTTGAATAGGATGTCTGACCACCTTTTGACCACCCTGGTGATGTCAAAGTGACCTCCTCAAATCGTTCAGTTTAATTACTGCCTTAGATTAGTGGGCTGTTCATTCTTGGGAAAAAACAGAAAAAAGCCTGGGAGCCACCAGCCTAATAGCTCTCCATGACCACATCTGTACGTGACAAAAATGTTGAGAGATAGAAGAAGAAATCACAGTAGATTTAAGAAGGAATTATTCTTACTTAATGATGGATTAAAGTTCTGGCCTTCGGATTCTACTTTATAAAATATACTCACAAACTTTTCAGCTACATGAGTATTAAACCAGTACAGCACACAAGTATACAAAACATAGACTGAACAGAAGGACAAACACCGTGTTTTACCTGTTTAACCTATTAGTGGCATGGTTTGTCTTCAATACAGAAAAAGAGCATGTTGATAAAATATTACAACCCATCAAACTGCAACATTCTTGGCCACCAACTGCTTATGTAGTTTCAGTCTTGCTTCCTTTCTGTGATACGGTGGCAAAAAGACATGAATTGCCATGTTAAACAGCAGAACCAGTGCACAGAGGGCTGATCATTTCAGCACAGTGCTATTACATTAAAGCCCTTTTTTGCAGCTTTCTGAAAATGGTAGGTGGACAGTGTAAAGTCATTTTCATTTTTACAGCCTGGGCCAACATGTGCTTGGCACAGTCAATCACTTATGTTACACATGCACGGTTTTGTCTGCTGCCAGGGAACACTTCTGTAAACTTGCTTGCCGTTAGAAGGCTGCTGTGCCTGGAGACACCCCAAGCTTAAATATGCACTACAACAGCTATGTGTGTTTTGAGAGAGAGAGAACAGTGTGTGTGTGTGTGTGTGTGTGTGTGTGTGTGTGTGTGTGTGTAGATGTCATACCATCTGTTTTACTCAGCAGCTGCCAGCATGTCTCATCCCCAACTTGTGAGAATCTGAATAAAATGTGACTACAACTGTGACCAGAGTTTTATATCTGCAGTAAGACATAACTCACTAAATCTCACTGTACCCTTCAGAAAAGCTCATTATAAGCTGTGTGAGCAAGGATTCATGCAGTCACGGTCATTTAACAATGTGGGATGCAAGCAAGTGTTTTAGTGGCAATGTGTTCAAAAACAATTGGAAATAGAAGACACTCCTGTTGTCAAAGCTTGGACAAAGCGCTCATGGGCGTGCACTTCAGCTCAACCCCCCCCCCCCCCCGTTTTGACCCACGACCCCCCTCTTTTTTTTGCCGCCACGGGGGTGCCCCTCACCCCAACCCCCCCCCCCCCTCGTTATGATCACAGACCCGCATTCATCATTGAGGATGTGGGCCTGCGATCTCTAGGGCAGTGCCCAGTCTGCCCGGGCCTTGTCACTGAATGCCAGTGTCCCAGGCAGGTGAAGCCCCTCTTGTGCTCCAGCCTTGGCACATGTCTCGGGTGCTGCTTGGCATGAATGCCCACACTTGACAAGCCATCCTTGTCAACCCTGCATTCCTCTGCTCCCTGTGTGCAGTGTGTGTGTGCAGTGTACAGCTTTACAGTACACTGTTATGTGACCTGTATCCCATAAATAATCTTCCTCTCTAGTTTGTGTTCATCTCCTCAGTTTGTGCTGTAACACCTATTATGAATTACACACCCTTTCTATTTTTACTTTCATCCTAGTTTTTCTCGCTGAACTGCCCTCATCTATCCTAATGCCTCTTTATCACATCATCTTTTGCTCTTTCATTTTCTGTCTTATGTTATGTGGATCAGTGCAAAAATACCACAGTCCAACTCTAAGGTTTCAGCAGTGGAGTATTAAGGGCTGAGGTACTTCTCAATCCTCTGGGCCTCTGTTCAGCCAGTTCTTAGACATAGGCAGCTGTTGCTAATGCAGCATCATTGCACCCTGCCTCATCTGTGACTTCTGGCCTATTGCCCTGTTTCTAACTAATCCACAGCTATGTAGCCTTGTCTCTGAACCTCACGAAGCCTATAATACCAGAAAAGACCCTATAATGAAATGGTGCTACGTGGTCCAGGAAAACAAGGGGCACACAAATGGTCAATTCTTTTCCAGTAAAGTTTATGATTGTCATGGGGAATTAATTTTGAATTGCACAGGCAAAGGGATTTTACCCTCAGTTCGGGAGGCGGACACCCTCTCTACCTTTAAGATTAGATTTAAAACTTTCCTTTTTGATAAAGTTTATAGTTATGGCTGGTCCAGGTGACCCTGAGCCTTCCATTAGTTATGCTGCTATAGACCTCCACCATTACATGTCACTAACTGTGTTTTCTCTCTCTCTCCCTGTACCTTTCTGCAGGTTGCCCTGGCCCTGGAACTCTACATTTCTGACGAGCAGTCACCAGCCACATCAACCTGACCAGTGTTTGATTGTTTGTTGTGTCTTGTTGCTTTTTTTTCTCTCTCTCTCTCTCCTCTATCCACTCACCCCAACCAGTCGAGGCAGAAGGCCGCCCACCAAGAGCTGGGGTCTGTCGGAGGTTTCTCCCATTAAAGGGAGTTTTTCCTCCCTGTTGTCACCAAGTGCTGCTCAAGGGAGGTTTGATGGGTTTTTCCTCTATAATATTAATAAATTAATAGTAAGGCCTAGATCTGACTTTGTAAAGTGTCCTGAGCTGACCTTTGTTGTGATTTGGTCCTATACAAATAAAACTGAACTGAACTACACTGAATCATCTTCATCCCCCGTTGAACAAGTCGTTCTACAGAGCAACTGTCAGTCAGTAAAAATAGCACATCGTTGCCTTTTCAATAAATCATGACCTTTTTCTTTGTCCAAGCCTATTATGCTTTCATACCTGTGCCATTCTGTGCTGTCCTATATTCCCAGTGTATCCCTACAGCAGGCCACTGACACACACTCCTACCCTAAACCTCCAGCATGATCAAAGTTATGTTTCATATGCAAACATGGGTGGGGCTGAGCATGTATGCAGACTAATGTAGCTCCACAGTTACTTTACCTTGTGTGCAGAGTGCTGTGTGAAAATACAGCATGGTGATGAAATCTATCAGCTACTATAGGTAGCTACAGGTACTGTTGCCGACTTTGATTTTGAAAACCTGCTTTCCCTGATTCTGTTCGTCTGTTTCAGCCTCCTGTTTCTGTCATGAATTTTTCATACTACTGGATTTTCTGTACCTTCCACAGTGAGGGGTAGAAAATTGGATATGCCCTGATTCACATACATGCACACACCCTTGCACACATGCAACCTTAATTCTCAAGGGTTTCTGCACAGCCAAGGTAACAAGTATTACTCACATCCTGACACTTTCATCACTCTGTAAAACAAAAACTGGCAAACTAATCTCCTTGTTTTTGTGATTTTTAAGATTCCTATCTGCTTCACCAATAGCTGAGTCAACATTGCTGCAAACCTCTACTTTGGAATACAGTGAGCAAAAGGTTTGGAGTTGAAAAGGTAGTGCATTAATGCTGAGGAGTGATCCCATAAACACACAGCTTTCCTCTTCGGTGATTGGTTAAGTACTTTCGAAGGTAAATATTTGGCCTTCTTGAAATAATTTTCGACTGCTGGCGAGTGATATGATGATCTGTGAGCGCCACTCTTGGTTACAGATTAACCGTGGCTACATGAAGCCCCTGCTGTTCACAGGACTATAATATATCATTATTATGGTCGATGTTTCCTCAAGAGATAAACTGTCTTCTAATGTTTGTACCACCAGCTACCACAACCATGTCGCGCCCCTCCCTTGTCCTGCCTGAATTCTAGAACTTGTAAAATACATGTTACAGCGAGTTTAAAACGATGCAGTTTGTTTCATTGGGCCCTTATGGCCATTTATTTACACTATAAAGTAAGTATAGCAACTACTAACTGATCTAGAGTCAGTGACTAACAGAACATGGGAAATCATTCATTGTGTGGTCTTTTTCCCAGCCTACCTGTGTATCAGCAGATAGACAGGCAGGTCAAAAGTGTGGACATTAATAATTGACTTCTGGGGGGGGGGTTCTGTGCCACATTAGGTTGTGTTACATTAAGCAGGGATGGACAGAGCAGATCAATTATTCATCCTGTTGACTGGTTCACAGACTCAGGGTGGAAGGGCCAGTCACCGAAGGGGTTGGATGTGGCACAGAGGGCAGGTGACACACCTCTTGCATAACCAATACATTTCCAGTACTGTGCGTAAAGAATCAGAGTGAAGTTCTTATTGGTAGCCAAATCACCTGGGGATATATTATCTCCAGTTCTGTCAATTTTATGATGACAGTTTGATGATGTGGGCAATGTGTCGACTGCACCTAACAACTCTCAGTGCACAGCTCAGCAAATTCAAAAGACAGCTAATAACCAGGGCATTGAGGGAGGTTTATCCTCAGCTGCAGGCATGTCTCCATAGAGGACTTGGATGATGCACTGTGCTGACACTGTTTAATAGTCTGGGCTTGCTGAGATATCTATATTATAGCTACCTCATGTCTGAGGGTGCTTTCACACCTAACCTGTTTGATGCCTTTGCATGTTTGTGAATTTAACTCTGTTGCAGTCCAAAGAAGTGGAGTGAGAACACCTGAAAAGCCAAGTCCTCAAAATGAAATCTGGTGCAATCTGTCCATGGGCAATAGGCCCGACGAAGCACAGGATTTCCTAAGAGTAGATCTGTGGTTTTAGTTTCAAGAAGTGATTTGAGGTTCAGTTGATTCGGGTCAACCACTGAAACTAACCAAAGAAAAATAAAGAAAACTGGATTCTCATGAGCACAGCATTAAGCTGGATTAAAAAAAAAAAAAAAAACTGTATAGGCATAAGTACAGTAAACAAGACTTCCAATGCCAACTTCCAGTATTGACAGTTGTCAACAAGCAGATCCTACCTCCTGCCCTGGGTGTAATATGTGGAAGGTTAGTTCAGAAAATAATTCATATTAACTAACTGACTAATTATTTCTCTGTCTTCACAGTAAACTGTCTGTACTCTTTACACTGTTGTATACATTGACTTTGTTTGAGACATACCATCATAGGTGCCACTCTCCAGCAGCAATCCGTTTTCTTCGAGCTCACGGAATTCCCCCACGCTGATGAAATTGTAGTCCACCCCGGGAACCTCCCCCTCTCTGGGCTGCCGAGTGGTACCTGCCGACAGTGACACAGCGTAAGATCACAAGAAGTGGAATGTGCTATTCCCTCATTTGGAGGGGTGCTGACACCGTATGCAACATGCCCACAGGGGCTGTGATTCAAGTTCAAATACAGCACTCAGGAGATACTGTGCCTGCATCATGAATAGTCAACAGAGGTGTGACCACAAAAGTAGGAATTCATTATTCAAATAAGAAACCAGGAAAAAAATATCCTCCAAATAACAGCACAGCTGTCAGATTAAAGAGGAAGTGTAATCAGCTGGACTTTAACAGCGCACTTTTACTTTTGTGTACAACAGCACCACTTAGATTCCTTAAGGATGCAACTAAATCCTATATCAAAACTTTCAGGAGAAGATTCTCTAGTTAGGTTTGCACCAAGTACTTAAATGGATAAAATCTAACTTCACTGTTGCTATGACTTTTATATCTATTTTATATACATATCTGGGCATTCACAAAACAATTCACGCTCAGAATCCCATCTACATCTTTGTTTCCATGGCAACATAATAAAAAAACAGCTATAAAAATGTATTGTGATGACTTGTCAAAACAATGCTATTTAGGTAAAAATCTTGTTTATGCCAGACCTTTTCTGGGACATCTCTATTTGCAATAAACCAAAGAAATCAGAGAAGTTACTAATAAACATACTATGTGTCCTCAGAGCACCACCACCATCAAAGTCCAGTGAATTTATAAATGACAGCCTTACTGCTTGTTTCCAGCACTGGGAGAGATTTGTTCATGTTCATAAAACCAGGGCAAACTCTCTAAGACCATGGAAGTAAAAAATCATTGACATGTTTCACAGTGTACTGCCTCCTTCATGCCAGCTGTTTCGGTCAAGGTCAGTCTTTCTGTGTCAAAAACGATCTTGAAGCAACACTTCTGCAACATAAACTCAAGGATTCCAGTTTTTTTCTTTTCCGCTTCCCCCGTTCTTTTTGAAATAGTTCAAGCTCCTGCAAAGTTAGAATTGTTAAATAAACAATCTGCCATAACTGCTGCAACTGGTTAAAAAGAGTTTTCGCTTCATGATGTCATGCATTGAAAACACATTGCTATGAAAATGATTTTATGCTCCCCAACATGCCGACTCTGCTTAGCGGCATCTCAGATGTAATCAGGGCTTTTACGGTACCTCAGCTGAACTGCTGTGCTATCTCGATGCACTGCAGGCACAAGGGATTTTAAAGCAGAGTTTAACAGGAATCTATCCTCACTTTTCATTTTCTTTCTGCGTCAACATCCATCCTGACTGCAGCATGAGCCATCACATCTGAAACAGCTTAGTCTATTGCACAGACAATCTTTCATTCTGTCAAACAGAGCAATCAGAGGAAACCAGTGAAGTCATACAAGGAAAAATATAATCTTGTTTTTGGGAGAAGGAAAGGGGGAAGCTTCATGCTGTTTATTCAGCTACCTTAACTGAAGATTCTCAGAGAAGTCGGATCAGTTTTTCCACCTTGACAGTTCTAGGCTAATTCTCATCACTCCATCACAAGCCTTTGTGCTTGTTTGATATCAAAAGTGCTGCTGCAAGAGGTGGTGGAGTTTTAAAAGACAAGAGGGTCACAGCTTTAAATAGTGGAAACAGAGGCTGTGGATCTGCGCCGATGTGCTGGTGACCTGACCCGGACAGCTGTGAGAGACTGTTGAAACTAGACATTTTACTGTTATCTGAGAAGAAGCAATGAGATAAGGAGCCTTGAAGAAAATATAAGAGGAAATTTACTGCCAATTCTCATTCGGTAAAAGCACCCGCTATTTTAACTTCCACCTTGTGTGTTTGTGTTTCCTCACAAGCGTCTCTTTGAAGAAATGAAACAATTACACAAAAACAATACAAAACTTTAAACCAAGGAAAAGCAAACAAGTACTAGTGGTTACCAGGTCTACAGGAGAATCTAGCTCTCCATTGTTTGATGTGAACTACATGATGTGTTTCATGTAGGTAGAACAGGTTGAACACCCACTCGGTGGGCCACCAGAAGCCAACTGACAAGCATTTAACAAAAACGCACCCATATGCTAATTACAGCTGAACAACGATTTAAAAAAACAAAAGAGATACAACAATTGTAAAATTGTAAAACAGATCAGACAGTGCCAACTTTAAATTTGTAGGAGAAAATGAGGTAGTGTTGAAAGTTAGTGTCTGGTGAATACAACATAAATCAGGACAGAAAGGAATGACCGTTTGACTTTTCTTTTTTTTTTATTAACTATATTGTATCTGTTATGTTTTGGCTTAACACAAGCCAAAAGTCCTGGTCTTGAAATATAACGTTCTGAACACTGGAAACACTGGGAACACTGGCCTAACATTACCTCACCCAATTCATATCAGAACACAGCTGACTTATACAGACAAGACTATTACAACAGTAACATGACCGGCTGATCCAGGACCATCATATTGTAAGACTGATCCTAAACAACACAACATGTTCCCATTTCTGGTCAAGACAAGAACTTAAAGGATAAAACAATGGCATCTGAGCACTGGAAATTTACTGATGTAATTTCTTTCATCAACAGGTTGTGAACCATTTGAACCACGACACTGTGGCAAAGGGCACAGTGCCACCACACATTAGTACACGATCTTACATGTTTTAATTTAAAGTGAGAGTAAAAAGCAATTACTACTCCAGAATAGTACTGGTAATTTCATCTGCGACATGGAGAAATTTTATCACATTGCATATTATGTCTGGTGTAAAGCTGTAGTAAATGATGAAAGTTAATCACTAAGTGCCTGGTAGTTGTGTTTAACACGTCTGTTCCCTCAGGAACACTTTGCATTTATTACATTTACAGGCCACTGTGAATAAATGCAATGTTGACATTAAATATATAAGAAAAAATGTTATCTGATGTTGCAGTCAATAATTTTTTTTGTAATAGAAGCTACATGTCTCAATGCAAATCTACATATAATATATTCTGTCTTTTGTCTCAGGGGCTTAAAAAGTTAAAGGGCCCTTTACGATCTTCTAAAAGGATCATTTGTCAGGATTGAAAATCTGCACCAGCTTTTTTTTTTTTTTTTCTATCCTTCCTCATATTCTTAATCTGCTCATGCAGCTCATTTCTGGGCTGAGGCATAGTTGCCAGAAGGGGTTGTAGATGGGGAGTCAGGATTTGGCCAAGCTTCAAGGTGCCCCCCTGGACCACTGCCATTGTTTCAAGCCCCCCCTTTTTTGGAGGGAAAAGTGGCATTTAATGAAGCCTCACTGTGTGCAGTGGAAGAAGGAAGTCCCACCTCTCTCACTCTGAGGTGACACCAAAGCAGAGTGGCAATTCAGGCTCATCGCAGGGGCACTGCGGCTCAGCGCGCTGTGAAAGGCCACTGTATCAGCGGCGTGGACAGGGGACATATACTGAGCTAGCGAAGCCAGTCTGCAATGTCTCACATGGGAAAGGCATGGCACTGGTGTTTGACAAACATGACAACGCACTAAAGTATAGAGTCAAAAATGTGCAGAACTGGGTGAAATGTCATGTGGCTGTACAGTAAGTGCTTTAACAAGACATCGTTTTTGAGCTGTTTAGAGGAAACTGAGCACAACAACTGAGATGTGAGAGACTGATGTCACTGGTTTTAATGGCTCAGCTATGGAGCGCTGAAGCCTCATTTATACTGTTTCATATATTTCCATGATAGCAGATGGGCAGATTCATCTTGCAAAATAAGAAACCAGAAAGCCCTGCAGATTATATCATTTTGTCCAATTAATCATTACTGCTGTATTATACATTAAACACCAGTTCAAGATATGCCTTTAAAACGACTTTCTCAACAAATCTCTCCATGCAAAATGTCAGAAGTGGATGCTTTCCTAATGCAAACTGAGAATAACACAGATAAGAAAAAGAAATGTCTGGCACAGTTTTTAAAGGCAAACAAAGTGCATAACCAAGCTGTGCAGCCCAGGAAATTGCAGCTGCATTTTTATTTATGCCTGTTGGGATTACTGAATTTTAAAATCACTGGCATATAGAAACAAAACTGTCATGTCCTGGTTATTGATTGTTCTGTTTAAAAAGTGGAAAGGTCCTATAACGAAAAACAAACCTCAGCTGCAGAAGGAAACCATATATTGTAAGATAAGGTCTTGAGACTAAAAAATTTATGTCTCTCTCTTAATTGAATACTTTATATACTCAGCCTCAAAATCCATTTCAATTAAATTAAACATAAAAATGGAGAAAAGGTGCCGTTCCACTCTATTCCAGTCCAGTGTCTTTTGTACAAGCTCTGAACTGTTTCATATTCAAGTCTTGGTAGATAATGTTAGACCCCCATATTTTCCTAGGACATCAGTCACATTAAACTTAAGACTCAGTGCTTTTACTAATTATGTTGAGATTGTGAAGCGAAAGGTAAAATTTTGCAATCTGCCTGAATTCATATTATCTGGTGCAGTGAGGAGGAAGGAATGGAAATGAGGGGAAAATAAGTTAAAGTGGGATTTTAGCAGATGCAGGCAAGTATAAAAGTAGGATGGTGCAGGTAGCTGTACAGATGAGGACAGACCATGCTCCATTTGCAGGGGTCAGAAGTAACGAGCACAGCACAGAGAGAGGAGGCCGAGGTGCCCAAGGCTGTGGAAGCTACTCACAGGGAATGGTGCGCAGGTACAGGTTGTCCCTGATCACCTGCTGCAGCTTATGGTCCAGGGAGCCCTTCTGAAACTGCAGACTGAGGTAGTGACGCAAATCAGTATTCAACACCTTACCTAGAGGAAAGGAAAGAGAAATCTGGGTCAGTCCAGCAGTTAAAACACGTAGGAGGGCATGGTGCTCATTTACAAAACACCCACTCTGATGATGTGAGTCTGGGACAGTTAGACATTCTGCAATTTAACTTCATACCAACCTACAACACACACACACACCTCATGGACAACAACACCTGCTACAAGCCCCAAATTAGAAGGGTTGTTGTCTGGAAGGCAATTACTTGTAGCTGAGACAACAAAGCTGGCATGTCAAATGTCATGGAACATTAATTGGGCTGTTTAATTAAAATCCAGATGCATGTATGACAAAGAGGAACACAACACTGGACAACTGTTACACCTGTGGACATCAATCAGTGCTTTCTCCTCAGAGCTGCTTAGCAGGGCGTACACTGTTAACCTTCTACAGATAAAGGTAGTAAGCACTGCCAACTACATAAAACATCACTGTTCTGACAGTTACCATAGCTTCAATAATGCCTGTGATGTGCCTCATCAGAATCGAGCTTCACGTTCTACATCTGCTTCTTCTTTTTTGTGTAGCCTCAATCACAGTGCCACAACGTGGTTGCATTTGCTGTCAAGGTCTGACATAGGTGTTAAGATCTTATAGATCTTCTTGAGATCAGAGAATGTCGACAATCAAAAGCGAGCAGAAGCCAGGCTGTTAGCAATGTCATCCAGACTCCAGCTGAGATCTGCATTAAACTGCTGCGAGGCGCATCAGTCAATAAGACAATACATCTCTCCCTGCACTGACAGTAAATACATGATTTTTCTCCCATGTGAGACTAACTCTGTTGTGGGCTAATCTACTAAAGAATATTTTATGATACTACAGTTTTGAGCCACTGTGCCAGACACTTCTCATTTTCACTACTTCACTAATCAACCTCACACTCAAAAGTCATTGCAGATTTGCTCTGATTTTATAATGAAATATTTTCCTGTTCTATTTGCATCTCTTCACCAATACACACACACACACACACACACACACACACACAAGCAATATATTTGTTCTTTCAAACTGGGTTCAAACTAGTAGAAATTGACAAAAAGAAACGGCGTAAAATACTGCATAGTAACAAAAAGAAATATACCCACAGTGAAAGAAATGAAAAATCCAAAGTGTAGAGCATCCTCCACATCCCACACTCTACGGGAGTTCTGCTGTACTCAGGATAGATGTGACGGCTGAGGAATAACAATCTATCATCTACCTAATTCAAAAAGACTGTAAATTAAATGGGGTTTTCTTGAGGGGATAAAACAACTACCAGCATGATGCCAGATGACCAGTATAATGGTGGATGCTTAAGGTTATTGCTTAACATCTGCCAAATTTGATGCTGAAAATATTTTTGATTGAAGCTTAGTACATGACTTTGGAATTCTGCGGCTGCTAGCCACTCTGTGTGTGCATGCTGCTTTGCTTAAGTTGAAACAGCCATGGCAGAGGAACAAGTGAGGGCTGGGGCCAAGAGAAGCATGGCTCTCCATTATGTAACTCTATAGACTTTTTACTGATACAATGGATCTGAGGAATTTAGGTCGTGGAAACAAAAGATGGGTCTGGCCATGCATCACAACCTGAAAGCTACAAGCCTGCAGTCCATGAAGCCTGCAAGCTGTGAGACATGAAAACTCCCGAAACACACACACACAAACAAACAATATACATCCCACTCCCTCCCACTGGTTCAGCCTCATTCCCATGTTAAAGGGGATGGGAGTGAATCTGCTTTCACAAGGATTTCACAATGTTTGGGAATGCCATTTTCACACACTGCCTAGGGTACTAATTGTAGCCACAGGATTCCTGCAACTAAGTGTAGATACCCCACTGGGTCAACAAAATCAATCTCTCTCACACACACACAAACACATGCAAATCGCCTCCCATGCCCAAAGCACTCGAGTGCTTCTAACAGGGTAGTCTTTGTGGACAGCCTGTCAGGTTGTGTTAGCACGCTGCATCATATCTCCAGCGACAGAGAGAAAAGGAGGGAGCAGCAACTCTCAGCTTCCTGCTAGGTTACAAGGCAGCGTGTCACTGGCCTGCCAGGCTGGTAGAGCAAGGCCTGTGGGACACAATGGAAGCCTTTGTGCCTTGTCATCTGGCTATTAGATACTCTCTCTCATACAGGGGGAGTGGGCCGCTGCAGTTCAAGGATGGAGAATCATTAAAAACAGGAGGGGCAGGGTGGAAGTAGTGAGGGATATTTGCAGAGGGGCGTAATGATGATGCATTGGGACGCACATGGAAGCACAGCCCGCCTCTCTCCACCTGCTCTTTCATCATTAGTCTATCACTCCATCTCTGACTGTGCATCTTTGCCTCCCTCGCTGTGAAGATTCATCAGCCCTGACAGATCTCCACAGGGCTCCTCACACCTAGATTTGAGATCACTTTCTGAATAGCTATTCCCTGCATCTCTCCTTTCTTCCACTGCTAGCCACTTAACATTTTATCTCTGGTTTTCAAGTGATGTGTAATGAACAGTAAGGAAAAGAGGAATGATCAACAATAAAATATTTGCCAAATAAAAACCATACAGTGTGGATGTACTAACAAAACCTCCACTTTCTGTTTGTCTATGTACCACACACATAGATGGGAAACAAAGCACATGCTGCTGTCCGTCATCCTTCCCCCAGCCTCCTAGGACCCTCATATTTTGGTGCATGCCATGGGAAACTGCTACTCTCAGCTCACCTCACCATCTGTCATTTTCAGTAACTGATGTCAAAACTACTGAAGTGTTTTACTAAAAGTCTTTCAAAGAGAGACAAGTTGTTTCTCAGCCAAACGACCAGAGAAGAGCTTCAGGCCTTCTGCCATCATATCATGGCAATCAGTAAGGCAGCTGTCTAAGCATTTCACTCAGACCAATAAATGGCAATGCCATGGTACCTCTAAAACAACATTTAGGAAATTCCCAGAGTCAGCAGGCTTCATCCTCTGGACACTGTTAATGTCAGTGTCAATTCATCCAATAGTTTTTGAGATATTTTAGCCTAGGCCAAAGTGGTGGACAGACCACAATGCTCAATAATTTTAATGGAATAATAACAACAGAAACTTCTGCCAAAAGCAAAAAAAAAGCCTGCCTTTTCCTCAATTCCTGCAGCTGACATGCAGTACAGATATTTACCCAGCCATCCATTAAAGAGTAAGTTAAATTACAATGGGCTTGTATAGAAACAACGCTTTTCCTAATCGAGAGTGGAAGTAATGCAGAAATGTCACCAGCAGGGGTGTCGGTAGGCGTCTAATGAGGCAATTCTCTGACAGTAGTGCAGCTCGGGAAACAGTGATAAAGTCCCTGCCATCTGCTAATTACCACCTTGTTAGGTTCATTTGGCAACTCAAGGCCACAGTCCTGCCTCATTCTGTGTGACAGACAGAGAATCCACAGTTTATTGGCATCTAAGGGATGCCGAGTTTCTTCACTTCCTCCTTAAAGTGGCAGAGTGACTAATGAGAATAACAGCTCTGACTTGTTTGCTCTCCAAAGGGCAGCAGATACACAGATATGTTGGGTCCCACTGCCAGTTGTCTCAAACCCACACCGATGTTCACTTGAAGTCATAGTAGTGGAAGTACTACTTTACCATAAACACTTCCCCTTGAACTGGGAGAGGTGTGGAGTATTTTCCCATTTGGAACAAGCTCTGCTGCTTTTACATCTGCTGTTGAAGCTGAAAGCTGTAACTGGCCAGAAAGAAAGAGGATGAGGTGAAGTCAATTAGTGGCTGTAGTGCCCAAAAGATTAATTATGGATAGAAGTGGGCTTTTGGATAAAAAGCGATACACCTACATGAAGAAAATCCCCAATCACACTTTTATTCCAATCAGGTTAGATGCATCCCTCTTGAAATCCAATTAGTGGCACCGTATCTCAACATAAGGTCAGTCTGCACAGGCTGGGTGTTTGGCCACAGAATAGCTAATGACCAGGCTGAAAACCTCCTTACGTAACATCCACCTTTCCAATTATACCTTTGCTATATGAAAACAGAAAAAAAAAACATGTGTCTTTAGTCATTAAAAATCAAACGTTTTCCATCATGTTTAACTGCAGATCTCATTAGCTGTAAGTATCATATTCCTATCAATAACACAAAACAGAAGAGGTGCTAGAGGAGAAGTGACTCTTGTGGTGCTATTTTGAGCTTGCTGTGCCACAAGGGTAAAAGCATTATCCGTGCACCCTTGGTAGAATAGAACGATCAAGTCTTTTAGGGGGTAATTGAAAGGAATAGTCTTGCTACACATTGTGTGCAGGCTTATTATAGTCAACATGATAATCATCAGTGCACTTGGCCATAGACACAAATGATGTCCCAAAGCTCTCAGTGTTCAGAAATATATTCTTGGCTCTGCGTGGCTTGCCTGCTATTGTTGGCTAACTGTGCTGGATATCCATTAGTTACATGCTTGAGATAAGAGTACACACCTTTTCTGCTGATGCATGGAGTATGTGTGCATGATGTCATGGGGTAGGACTGGATAAGTCTGACTTCTTCCTACTCCATTCAAGCATGTACTAGGTATAAGCAAATTGGTATAAGGTATAAGAATCACAACTTCAGAGCAGCCAGCCAGTATGCGTAGATGGGTACAAGAAATTAGTGCACAAAGAGGTGAGTTTACCACTGAAGTCACCGTGTTCACAACTGTGTTACAGTGTGTGGAAAAAGTATCAAGCTTCTTTCTTTTTGTCAGAGTGAGAAGCGACTTTGGAATAGTCCGTTCTAATCCTATTGTGGTTTAGAGAATGACATTTTTTAAAAAGAAAGTGTCATGTCTGATCCTTTTGGACTCTTAGCTGGGGCAGGAAGGTGAAAGAACAGCCACAGCCTGAGTGGGGAGAGGAGAAGAACCCGCAGCCCGTCTGGATCTTATGATGATGAGTAGACTGACAGATGCTGACATTAACTTCTCCTTCGCTAGGTCAGGTCCAGCGGAGCTCAGTGGACATCCACTACAG